CCTCAGCCTTCCAAGTAGCTGGAACTACAGGCATGTGCTACCACACCAGGCTAATTTTTTGATTTGTTGTAGAGATGAGGTCTCACCAAGTTGCCCAGGGAGTCTTGAACCCGCGGGCTCAGGCAATTCACTCACCTCAGCCTCCCAAGGTGCGGAATTACAGGCTGAGCCACTGAGCCCAGCTTAATTTTTTGATTTATTGTAGAGATGAGGTCTCGCCAAGTTGCCCAGGCGGGTTTCGAACCCGCGGGCTCAGGCAATCCACCCACCTCTTCCTTCCAAGGCGCGGGATTACAGGCTGAGCCACCCAGCCTGGCTTCATGCAATAATTATCAGTGAATTCTAAACTAGCGGGTAAAATTTGGGTAGAAACAAGCCATTTACACCATTTTAAAATATTTCCCACAAGATAATTAATTACAAAGAGAAAAATGCAGTAGTAATTGTATAATGGAGAAACCCAGCAGATGGCGCCTTAACCAAGTGACCAGAGTTATCACCAGCAATGAGACAAAATAGACACCATGAACAACCTGACTCTAATTATGAGAAAACATCAAGTAAACCCAACTCAAGGAATACTCTACAAAATAAATGACCTACTGTACACTGCAAAAAAAAAGTCAAGCTCATGAAAGAAAAATATTTGAGGAACTATTCCAGATTAGAAGAGACTAAAGAGACCTGACAATTAAATGCATGATACTGGATTGGATCCTAAATTAGGTAAAACTGAAAACATTTTCACTTTTGAGACATTAGTGAGATAATTGACAAAATCTAAATAACATCTACAGATTAGGTAATGGTACTATGGCAATGTTAATTTCCTGATTTTATTCATCATAAAGAATGTCCTTGTTTTTAGGAAATAGACTATTGAATATTTAGTGGCAAAGGGGCATTATGTCTACTCAGTTCAGAAGAAATTTATATATATAACGGGGAGGGAGAGAAGCAAACATGGCACCATTTTGTCGAGTCATGATTACCACACATGGCAACATTTTGAGAAACCTAAATGAATAACATGGGAATACTTTGTATTTCAAAATTTTAAGATATTGATATCACAAAGATTCAGAAGTCAGCCTGAAAGGGCTTCCATTGGCCAACATGAGCACCAAAATGATTTAGTACAGTGGTGATGGTAAATCATTAAAAATCATGAATCTATATTGATAATAAATAGACAAATAAATTGAAAAGAAGAGACATCTCCTTTACAGCAGACTATTGAGGTCCAGTAGAGGGAATGAACTACATCTCAATAGGGCTGTTAAAAAATGTGATCCAGCCGGGCTCAGTGGCTCAGCCTGTAATCCTGCGCCTTGGGAGGCTGAGGTGAGTGGACTGCCTGAGCCCGCGGGTTTGAGACCCGCCTGGGCAACTTGGCGAGACCTCATCTCTACAATAAATAAAAAATTAGCCAGGTGTGGTAGCGCACGCCTGTAGTTCCAGCTACTTGGAAGGCTGAGGTGGGAGGATTGCTGGAGCCCAGCAGGCGAGGCTGCGGTTGCCAGGAGCAGCCACTGCACTCCAGTCTGGGCGACAGAGTGAGACTCCAACTCAAAAAAAAAAAAAATGTGATCCATGGATGAACAGATAACCAAATAGGGTCTATCTACTCAATGGAATATCATTCCATCTTAAAAAGGAAGAAAATCTTGTTACAGGTTACAGATGAACCCTGAGGACATTATGTGAAATGAAATAAGTCACTCAGAAAAAAAGACAAATACCAAATACTGCATTCTATTTGTAAAGGTATCTAAAGTTGTCAAACTCAGAGAAAGTAGAATGGTGGCTACCAGGTGCTGAGGAGAAAGAGAGACGGTGAGTTGCTGTTTAATAGGGATAGAGTTTCAGATTTACAAGTTCTAAAGATCTGCTTCACAGCAATGTGAACATACTTAACACTACTGAACCATACACTTTACAATGGTTAGCAGGGTAACCAGCTTCAGTGCCTGAATGCATTCTTTGCCTACAGGCATCCTGTAATCAAAAAATATCTTCTGTCCCCAGTGGTATGTCCATTATCAACAAACCTTAACACAAAATATAACAGATTACAGTGTAGAATTTACTGTACTGTGACAAGCTCACAACATCTATTCAATGCTTTTCACAGGGAGGAATAGCCAGGTATAGCTTTCATTTGAATAGTAACTCATTATTAGCATAATATTTTTCTAGATAATATGAGGCAAATACTATAAAGTGATCTTTTTCTAAATTTATCTGAATTCCACTGATTCTTAATGCAATGACAAAGAACATAAATAAAGAACTTACATCTTGCTAATGTCTTTGGACTCTGTGAAGGCACTGGCTGGTTGTCAATGTGTGAAAGAGGAAGTTTTGATTCCCCTTGGGATACCCAGCCTGGGAGAGGGAAAGTATCCATTATTAATCCAGTAGGAAGTTGCATCAGAAAGGCAAGAAAAGGTAAAAATATCTAAGTCCTCCAATTTTTGTGCCAGGGTAAGATTCCACAACATAAGAGGCATAAAACACTGAAAATGTATCCATAGTTATGTATTTTATTCAGTCACCTAAATTTCATTCCAGCTAGAATTAGATTAGACTTCCTTCATTTTTCAAAGCTATTTTGAAGCAAGTTTATAGGATTTTTAAAATAATAATTGCAAATGGAGAAGGTGAAGTTCTAAAAAGTCAGGAAGAGAAGGCCTGAGGTTAGAATGCTGAAAACTACAAATAGGTTTATGCCCTTGGACTCAATCCCATTCCTAGAAATTTATCTTAAGTAGATAATTTAATTGAAGGGAAAAAAAAATGCACCCATGATTATGTTTTTGCAGCATTATCTGTAATAGTGAACAAATAGAAACTAGGAAGGAATTAAGTAGACTATGGTGTATAAAGTTACAATACTATGTAATTTAAAAATCATTTATGAATATAGGAACACAGGGAATGTTTGTTGCAACATGGAAAAACTATGGGTGCTATAATTAAGCACTAGAAAGGAATGGATTATCCTCCCTAATCCCTTGTATAGAAGAAATCATCTGAGACCCAAGTTAGACAGGGTTCCTAGAACACAGATCTTCTAGCTTTCAGAACTGTCCACTTTCCTGGTCTACATCACAGGAGGAGAAGTAGTGGACATAGAGGAAAGATTGGTGAAGTAGAGTTCTGTATGGCAGGAGTCCAGAGGTCGGTCCCTCTTAACTGTTTAAACTGTCTTATGACCTTGACCAAGTCACTCAGACATGGTGAGTCTAAGAGTATTCTGCCTGCCTCCAGGCAGGAATCAGAGTGAATATTGTGAATGGTGAAATAAAATTGCTATTTCATTGCCAGAACCTAACAGAAAATTCCAGAGCTGCTAGAGATGTGGCGAGTTAGGGAAAAGAAGAGGAGTTTAGAGTGGAGAGTAAGTATAACTGCGGGACCATTGATATGCCATGCAAGAATAAATATTCTCTAAAATTAACACCTAAATTATTCTAGATAGAGTGCCTCTTTATCAAATTATACCATCCATTCTTTCTTTTAGGCTATTCAAGAAAATCTTACTTAGTGATTAACTGATATTTCTTTTACTTATCGAACTGTATGCTGCTATCATAAAAAGCACAAAGATGGCTCACCCTACATATCATGGCCTTGGGATGCTTGTAAATAAAGAATGAACATAAGTATTTTAATACAAAGTACAATGTATTAAGAGGCTAAAATCTGGCCAGGAATGCTGGTTTATACCTGTAATCCCAGCACTTTGGGAGGATTGCTTGAACCCAGGAGTTTGAGAACAGCCTGGACAACATAGTGAGACTGCGTTTCTACAAAACTAGAAAAAATTAGCCGGGTGTGGTGGTATGCGATTGTAGTGCCAGCTATTCGAGAGGCTAAGGAGGGAGAATCACCTGAGCCCAGGAGGTTGAGGCTGTGATGAACTGTGATCGTGCCACTGCACTCCAGCCTGGGCAACAGAGTGAGACTCCAACTTAAAACAAAAAAATCTGGCCAGGCTCCATGGCTCAGCCTGTAATCCCAGCACTTTGGGAGGCCAAGGTGACTGGACTGCCTGAGCCTGTAGGTTCGAGACCAGACCGGAAAACTTGGCTAGACCTCGTCTCTAATAAATAAACAAATTAGCCGGGTGCGGTAGCATGTGCCTGTAGTTTCAGCTGCTTGGAAGGCTGAGGCGGAAGGATTGCTGGGGCCCAGCGGGTTGAGTGAGACTCCAACTCAAAAAAAAAATCTAGGGGATAAAAGACAAGGATATAAAGGAAGATGAACTATGATTATAGCCACGAAAACACATCAAGCACTATGGGAGACCAAAGGAGGGAGAAACAGCTTCTATTTGGCAGTACCAGGAAGGGCTTCAAGGACTGGCAGGCAGGGAGAAAACACAGGACTGGAAATCTAACACACAGGCTCAAGTTCATGCTCCATTCCTAAACATCGTAAACAGAAGAAGCAGTGCAAGCAAAGGCACCAGGGATCTGTAGTTCTTCATGTGGCTACAGAAGGGAAGTGGGACACGAGTGGAAGGCAGGCGCAGGCAGTCTTTGTCCTGGAGCCCAAGGGGCTCAGTTCCTAAAGATGTAAGCAGAGTACTGGCATCAGAGCCTGCTTCTTGGAGAGAGAGCCCAGGAGGATGAACTGGGGGCTAGAGGCCTATCAGGAACTCGCTTGCAGCAACCCAGGAAACCAAGTGAGGCTCCAGGGGCTCTGGGGTAGAGGCTGAGAGGAGTGGGAAATAAGAGAACTGGTTCAGAAACAGAACTGACAGCAAAGACGGATGCTGGATGGTGGAACCGCAGGTGAGTAGAGTCTTCAGGAAAGCGCCACCTGACCTTTCTCCCACAGTCCTCCGCCTAGCTGCCTTGTCCAGAGGCTGCTCTGAAGCCAGCCTCCAGGGTGGTTCCTTTTTCTCTCGTCAACTCTGAACCCACAGGAAAAGAAACACCAAGTTTTGCTTGATGGAAGAAATGAGATATCACCTGCCCTAGGTAGAAGTAATGAGCAGGTCAGTGGTTTTAAACAAGGCACATGGGAAAGTCAGTGTGGAAACACGGGGTTTGATGGAGGTAGCAGGTTTGATGGGCAGCCCTAGTTTAGTCTTCTTGACAGCTGCCAGTGGTTATATTTGATATTTTTTTCCAATCAACTGGTATGACTGCCGATTTTAGCTAATAATGCTCACGTTAAAATTGATCTTCTGGTTGATTATAGCATTAACAAGCACACAGTTTTGCTTCACAAAGATAAAATAAGGCACATGTGCCCAAATATGTCATAGACACTTACTGTTGAAAGCTCCAGGAGCGTGAAGGCCAAGGTCGAAGAGCTGAGAAGGAAGGAATCGAGAGGAATGAGCAAGAGGCTCAGACCCCATGGAAGCCTCCTGGGACAAGAGACTGGCATTGGGGCTCCCAAAGGTGGTCTGACATTCTTGGGCAAATTCACTAGCACTTGAAGAACCAGAACTCAGGAGGTTGTTCAGAAATGGGAATTCCTTCTCAAAGTCTTCTCCTTCCAATGAATACACAGGTAGCTCTTTTGCCACTGTTAAGTACAAATGAAAAAAGAAAGATTTTTTTTCTTTTTGAGGAAGTTAAAGGAGGATATAGGACAAATCAAATTTATGCCATTGTTCTCATACTGTATTAACATAATTTTAATGAACAACTAAGTTGGAAGTTTATACAAAAATTATTTTTAATTAGGTAGGCTTTAGATGAAAACGGCTACATTTCACAATGGAGCTATAACAATTATGAATATTCTGTCTACTACCTATAGAAACCACAGGAGATACAAAAAGACATAGAAACAAATTAATAATAGGAGATTGGCTGGGCACAGTGGCTCACACCTATAATCTCAGCGTTTGGAAGGTTGAGGCAGGAGGATAGGAGTTCAAGACCACCCTAAACAACATAGGGAGACCCTGTCTGTACAAAAAACTTAAAGCAAAAAAATTCCTCCACCTGAAAATTTTAAAACCTTCTACCAAATAACTCTTGGTTGAAAGGGGAATGAACTTTCTGAAAAATAATAAAGGAAACATTTCATATCATAACTCATGGTGTTAAGTAAACAACAGAAAGCCATTAGTTTGGACTGAGCTTCTACACTAGGCCCAGCAGATCGTTTTAAAGTTCCACACCACCAAACCAAACTAGGTTGTTTATCTGACTTTCAAGAAATCAGGAGAGATAGAAGGAGGGAGGGAAGGAGAAAAAGGGAGGGAGAAAGAGAGAAAAAAATAGCCAAATTCCCACAGGCCAGTCCTAGCTGGCAGGATGAGGAAGTCCCCTCTGCATTAACCTTACAAGAAAAGTAACTTTAGATCTTTTTGTTTTGTTTTGTTTCTGCTTTCCTCGGCCCCTTTCTGTCAATAAAACCAACCTCTTCTGCTCAGCCCATTGTTCTATATAATAGAATGTGTTGCCTGATTCTAGAATTGCAGATGAAAGCCAATTATGATCTTTAAATTTGCTGTAATTTTGTCTTTTAGCAATGGAATACTTAAATAACAGTGAGCAGAGGAAAAATCATAGCCAGTCCTTAGACACCTTTATCAGAAAAAATGAGAGGGAGAGGCCTCTGGCATGGCATAAAGAAGAGCTCCACAGAACTGTATCCCAGTGTAATTGGTGAAATTAAAAGAAAAAAAGAAAACAAGCATTTAAAGTCTTTGGAAATGGTCCCAAGGACATATAGTAAATAAAGAAATGTTTACTCAAGAAAATCTACTCGAATTCAGGAAAAACAATGAAAGTCTGTGGCATTTGAACTGAGAACCATTCCCATCTTCCCCATTTCCAAAAAGAAAGGAATTCCACTCTAACCTGGTACAGCCAAGAACACAGGGCTCCCCTATCCCCAGCTCTCAGTCCAGGGCAGGCTTCCCAGGAAAGGCAGGATGCCAGCATTTCATAGTGTGTCCCCAGTTGCCTACTGCTAAGGCTAGGTCCAGCTGAGTACAATGAAAAGGTAGAAATCCATTTCCCACCCAGACCTTATTCATGAATGGAGACTCTGAGTTTGGTGTGGTGTGCTGAGAACACTGGGCCCCTGGCCACTTGACCCTGCTTGTAAAGTGGTTTCATGAAGAAAGAGGCAAGCCAAGAAGACCTGAGGCCATTGTCACCAACTCCCCCCACCCCATCCAGCACTCAGGTCCTAGAGTAAGGATAACACTCAGAGATAAGCATACCACTTTCCTCACTCTCAAACCCCAACTTAGAGATTTTTCTTCAGGGGTAGAAGCAGACCATAAAACAGCTCCTAATCTCATCCCGAAGGAACTGACTTCATCTGCAACAAAGTGTGGAGAAGTTCAACCCTAAGGGTGCTCTCAAAAACAGTAGAGGCATAGTGAAAGGCATTTGGGAAAAGACTAGTCATTTCATTGGATAGGTAGGCTAAACTGTAGGGTCAGCTAGTTTACCTAAAAGAACCAGGGAAAAAGCCAGCTGAGGTCAGAACAAATTTCAAATAGGAAATTCGGGAACTATTCCTTCAAAGAAGTCCATATTTGAATGGTTTATTCTGTGGAACAATTTATGCTCTGAGGCATTGTTGAAACCAATAGAGCAATCAGCTGGAAATCAGTGGAGCTTAACAGCTGGTGTAGTCAGGGAGACAGACTATCAGAGAGCTCTGCTAAAGACGGTGTCATCCTAGGCTGACTGTGGACATATCTGAACCTGCATCCTATAGGGCAGGGTATCCCCCAACCCCCAGGTCACAGTACCAGCCCATGGCCTGTTGGGAACCTGGCCACAACAGCAGGAGGTAAGCGGTGGGCAAGCCAATTATTTACAGCCGCTCCTCATCACTTGCATTACTGCCTGAACTCTGCATTCTGTCAGATCAATGGTGGCATTAGATTCTCATAGGAGGATGAACCCTATTGTGAACTGCACATGCAAGGGATCTAGATGGCATGCTCCTTATGAGAATCTAATACCTGATGATCTGAAGTGGAGCTAAGGCAGTGATGCTACAGCTGGGGAGTGGCTGCAAATATAGATTAACATTAGCAGTGAGGTTTGACTGCACATCCACCATCTCGCCACCCCTGCCAGTCTGTGGAAAAATTGTCTTCCACAAAACTGATCCTTGATGACAAAAAGGTTGGGGACCACTGCCATAGGTAATGCCACCATTGGGGGTGAGGAGGATGAAAAAAGACTCCATTAAAGTAATCCAGCATATCACTAAGCAAATAAATAGAAGTCTCAGAGCAGGGGACCATACCCAAAGCTACTAAAATATATTACCCAAAATCTCCAGTTTCCAGGAACAAAAAAATTATGATGCATGCAAAGTAACAGGAAAGTATGATCCATACACCAACAAGACAGCATATAACAGAAACTAAACGTAGGGCAAGTAAATGTCAGATTAATAGACAAAGCCTTCAAAGTAGCCCTTATAAATATATTCAAAGATTAAAGGAAACCATGATTAAAGAAATAAGAAAAGATAGCTAGTCTGAAGCAGGGAAGAGGAATTTTAAAAATTAAATGGAGAATCTTATAAATCTACAAAAAAAAAAGAGAAAGGTATGATGATGATGCAGCATCATACAGAGAATATCAATAAGGAGACAGAACTTATAAAGAAAAGCAAAACCAAATGTACTTTTCTGGAGTACATTTAGTCCAGTAACTAAAATGAAAATTTCACTAGAGGGGCATAATAGTAGAAATGAACTAGCAGAAGGAAAAAATGGCTAATTTGAAGACTAATAGAGGTTATGCAATCCACGAGCAGAAGGGGAAAAAAAGAATAAATAGAGTCGCAGAAAAATGTTAGGACAAAGTTAAGCATACCGATATAAGCATCTTGGCAGTCTTAGAAGAACAGAAGACAACAGCCAGGTACAATAGTTCACGTCTGTAATCCCAGCACTTTGGGAGCAGAGGCGGGAGGACTGCCTGAGCCCAGGGGTTCATAACCAGCCTGGTCAAATTGGTGAGACCTTGTCTCTATTACAAATTAAAAATATTAACCGGGCATGGTGGCATGAGCCTGTAGTACCAGCTGCTTAGAAGGCTGAGGTGGAAGGATCACCTGAACCCAGCAGGTTGAGGCTGTGGGGGGCATGAGTGTGTCACAGCACTCCAGGAGAGCCTGAGCACCAGAGACTCTGACTCAAAAAACAAAAAACAAAAGTACCAAAAGCTTTTTTATGAAGCTCCACAATTTGATATTCATATTGAAAAATAAACATGCAGGCCAGGCTTGGTGGCTCAGCGTGTAATCTCAGCACTTTGGGAGGCCAAGGCAAGTGGAATGCCTGAGTCCGTGGGTTCAAGACCCACCCAGGCAACTTGGCAAGACCTCATCTCTACAATAAAATAAAAAATTATCAGCCTGTAATCCTGTGCTTTGGAAGGCCAAGGTAAGTGAATTGCCTGAGCCCGTGGGTTTGAGACCTGCCTGGGCAACTTGGCAAGACCTCATCTCTACAATAAATCAAAAAATTAGCCGGGTGTAGTAGCGCACACCTGTAGTTCCAGCTACTTGGAAGGCTGAGGCAGAAGGATCACCGGAGTCCAGCAGTCGCGGCTGCAGTGGCCGGGAGCGGCCACTGCACTCCAGTCTGGGCGACAGAGTGAGACTCCAACTCAAAAAAAAAAAAAAAAATTAGCCAGGTGTGGTAGTGCGTGCCTGTAGTTCTGGCTACTTGGAAGGCTGGGGCTGAAGATTCAGCAGGTTGAGGCTGTGGTGGCCGGGAGTGTGCCACTGCATTTCCAGTTTGGGCGACAGAGTGAGACTCCAACTCAAAAAAAAAAAAATAAAGATGAATAAACATGCAAACATAGCTAAGAATATAATAAAAAGACAGGGGAATGCTAGCCTTGCAAGATATTAAAAACAATAAGAAAGTTTCTATAATTAAAACTATGTGGTACTGGTGCATGCACACACCAATGAAATATACAAAAGTTCAAAAATATACCTAAGTACCTACCGCAATCTAGCATATGATGTTATCTCAAAATATCAGGACAAAGATGACATTTAAAAAAATTATCTAAAGAATAGCCATTTGCAAAAAAGGTAACATCAATTCATTGCTAACACCATATACAGGAACAAACAAATGAATTGGAGATCTAAATGTAAAAAAACTATGAAAATACTGGAAGTATAAGACAATTCCTGTATAACCTGGTTTTGAGAAAAGCTTCCCAACTGTGACTAAAGTCCAGACCCAAATCAAAGGAAAGAGTAATAAATTTGATTACATGTAAAACAAAATTGGTGGGGGGCAACCCCTTCAGGTCCCCTCCCACTGTGGGAGTTTATTGTCCTCTCAATATATCTTGCTTTCAAAAAAAAATTTTTATTTTTGTTTTTTATATTTTTGAGTTGGAGTCTCACAGCATCACCCAGGCTGGAGTGCAGTAGCATGCCCACAGCCACCCTAGCAGCGACCTGCTGGGCTCAAGCGATTCTTCCACCTCAGCCTTCCAAGTAGCTGAAACTACAGGTGCACACTATCACGCCCAGCTAATTTTTGATTTGTTGTAGAGACGAGGTCTCGCCAAGTTGTCCGCACTGGTTTCAAACCCGCAGGCTCAGGCAATCCACTCTCCTCAGCCTCTGGGATTACAGGCAGAGCCACCGAGCCCAGCCAGTTTTTAAAGAAACATGCTAAATCAAAAGACAAATAACGACTGGGCATGGTGGGCTCATGCCTACAATCCCAGCACTTTGGAAGGCCAAGGTGAGAGGATTGCCTGACCCCAGGGGTTCAAGACCAGCCTGGGCAACTTGATGAGACATCATCTCTACAATAAATAAAAAAATTAGCCAAGCATGGTGGCACTTTCCTGTAGATTCAGCTACTTGGAAGGTTGAGACAGAAAGATCACCTTAGCCTAGCAGGTCCAGGCTGTGTTGGCTGTGAGCGTGTCACTGCACTCCAGCATGGGCAACAAAGTGAGACTCCAACCTAAAAAAAAAAAAAAAAAAAAGACAACAAACTAGGAGAAAATGTTTGCAACATAATTGCTTGGAAAATATAGTCAAGGTAGTTTTTTCCTGTTTAGAAAGTACCTTAAGGTTGATTTAGTCTTGATAATTCACTTACAGATAAGGAGATGTTGGGGGCATACTTTTATTTATTAAATGACTTTAATTTCTTCATTATTGAATGACATTTAATATTTTGCTAGTATCTCATGATATTGGATGTACAAAAAATTGTGTTCTTTCATTCAATAACTCTTTCCTGAGTACCTATATTGCTGGATGGTAGAGAGACATGAGAAAGTAAAATAGACACAGTCCTAGCTGTTCTCTCAGTGATACAGACACATTCCAATAGGGCCCAAACATACAAAACAAAGAATTATTTTATTTCCATTGTGATTGCTACAAAGTAGAAGTACATAATCGCATTCCTGTGTAGAGACCTATACAGTTTCTAATGTTAAGGACATAAATGTTAAATAAAAATGGAAGAATTTTAAATGATAAATTATTCATACATATATAGTAAAATGTTAATTTCTTACCATTTTCAGAGTTAGAAAACTGAGATGCTCCAAATTCTTTCATTTGAAAATGTTTTTCCGTGTGATCTTTTGGTTGCCAAAACAAAAGCACACAAAAGATAAGTTGAACAAGAAGAAATTTAGCATGCTTACTTACTAAAATATTTTATAATTAGATCAAGTGTCCAGCTGACCAAATCCGATTATAATACATATAAAAGAAGATGTAAAATGTTAAAGAATCATATATAAAAATCATATTTGTATGACAAATAGCATTACAATACCACAGATAGATACTCAAGTTCTCTCTCATGTCTAGGTCTTTGATGTCTTATTCCAAAGCCCACTCCCTCCCTGGTGAACCTATCTTTATTCTACACTATCTGACAGGCCATTTTATATTTGTTCTGCCTGATCTCTGTGACGCTGACACTGTGACACAAAGGATGTTCATTTTATGTTGAATGAATGGATATAGTCTACATTATTTATTTATTTATTGAGAGACAGTCTTACGCCACTGCCCAGGCTGGAGTGCAGTGGTGCGATCAGAGCTCAGTGCAGTCTCAAACTCCTGGGTTCAAGTGATCTTCCCACCTCAGCCTCTTGAGTAGCTAAGCCTACAGGCACGCACCAATACCTAATGCTAATTTTTCCTATTTTTTGTAGAAATAGGGTCTTACAATGTTGGCCAGGTTAGTCTGGAACTCCTGGCCTCAAATACAGATTGACAGATAAGGAAGCTACAGAATAAATTAGGTTTTAAGTTCAAATACATAGTTTAGAAATGTTGAAAAAGTACAGAAGATAAAAAAGAAAAAAAAGAACTTTATCAGTAAGACTTTTAGTTGAACACAGGAAAAAAGTAGAGGAGAAAATCTGAGAATGAAAGAGATTCCAGAGATGGTCAGAGAAAGAATGAAGAGAATCAGGGTTAGGGCAGGAGAGCAGGAATTGGTGACAGGAGAGGCAGAAGCACACCAGGGAAAGCAGATAAGCTACAGAAATAGAGTTGAGAAAGGGACACATACGTTCAGGGTCCTGAAGAAAGCGTTGCTACAGAAGATTAAGGGCCCCCTCCTTCTTCTCTCTCCTCCTGAAACCTTCAGTAATGATCTGCTTTACTCCACACTGCCTTTGGTATGGATTCATGTGGGGTTTGGTTTCACTTTATTTTAATGCTATAGATGCATGAGATTGGGATCAAGACAGGCATACTAGTAAGAAAGTTCTAGCTTTTCGAAAGGACTAGTTTTATTCCACAATATGAAATACCAATTGAGTTAATATTTTAGAGCATAAATGTTTGAGGACATTTCAAATTACTTCCTCAAGATAGTTCTTAAAGTAAGATTATTCAAGTGTGGGATATTTTCATTTTTCTCAGAAAATTTGTCCTAGTTTCCACCCCTACAAGTAGTGCTGGTGTTATTTTGGTTTCAGAGACACTGAACAGCTTCAAAGTGTTCTTATTAGTATGGCCAACAAAAAATGCTACCTAGAAATTTAGTAGACTAGATACTTAGAAGCATCTTCCCTTGCAAAAAAGAAAAAAAACCTTAAAAACCTTGCTGAAACTACAAAATAGGTCAGGCTCAGTGGCTCAAGCCTGTAATCCCAGCACTTTGGGAGGCTGAGGTAAGAGGATTGCCTGAGCCCGCAGGTTTGAGACCAGCCTGGGCAACTTGGCAAGACCTCATCTCTTCTACAATAAATTTTTTTTAAAAAGTAGCCTGTAGTTCTGGCAACTTAGAAAGCTGAGGCGGAAGGATCGCTGGAGCCCAGAAGGTTGCCCCTGGGGTGGCTGTGAGTGTGCCACTGCACTCTAGTCTGGGTAAGGGAGTGAGACCCCAACTCAAAAAAATAAAATTTTTTTTTAAAAATTACAAAATACATTATTTTTTCTGTTTTGGCTCCTAAATATAAAATATATCTTTAATGCATTGTTGGACTTATTAGAAATAAACAAAATGTCACCTGAAACCAGAGCCAGGAAGATGAGCAGCAAACTAAGACGAAAGGCAGATGCCCCAGGGGTAGTGCCCATATTGACACTGCTCACTAGATAAAACCCTGCGCAAACACTAAGAAACTGAGCTGAACCCAGGATTCTTACCTTAAGCCAAGGCCCTGGAGAGAGGTGAAGTGATCACCAGGATGAGAGTCATGAGCCACTATGCCTAGTTGAATTTTCTTAGCAAAATATTCTCTAGGCCTTTAGGATTCTCACAGGTCATGAGTAAACAAATATTGGCTCATCATCGAAAATCACTGAACAAGCTACCACAAGAAAGTTGGGAAATACCAACAGATAATAAACTTAGATACCCAAAGACTTCAAATATTTGTAATTCTAGGTATAGAGATGAGTCCAAAAAGTGAGAAAGAACAAGGAACTGTGAAAATGAACAAGGCAGATTTATAAAAGAACCACACAGAACTTTTAGAAATAAAAAATATAGTTGCTGGAAGGAAAAAGTCCTCAATGTATACATTAGTAGATTAGATACAACAAGAGATAATTAGTGAGAAATAGAGATGAATGACTCCCCAGTATGCAGTATAGAGTGAAAGGGCATGGAATTGTGAAAGAGAAGTTAAACGATATGAGGAGTGGGATGGAAGGTGCACCCACAAGCTTCTTGGAGTTCTGGAAGGAGAGAAGAGAGAAAATAGAGGAGAAACAATATTTTATTTATTTTTATTTTTTTATTTTATTTTTATTTTTTGAGTTGCAGTCTCACTCTGTCGCCCAGACTGGAGTGCAGTGGCCGCTCCCGGCCACCACAGCCTCGACCTGCTGGGCTCCGGCGATCCTTCCGCCTCAGCCTTCCGAGTAGCTGGAATTACAGGCATGTGCTACCACGCCTGGCTGATTTTTTGATTTATTGTAGAGATGAGGTCTTGCTGCCCAGGCGGGTCTCAAACCCGTGGGCTCAGGCAATCCACTCACCTCAGCCTCCCAAAGGCGCGGGATTACAGGCTGAGCCACCGAGCCTGGCAGAAACAATATTTTAAAAGATAGTGGTTGAGCTTATACATATTTCATCACACTAAAAAAATAATGGTTGGGCATTTTCCAGAGCTAATAAAAGACAAAAATACAAGGATCACAATTTATGCCATCAAAGAGTAAAACAACAAAGATGACATCTAGACATTGCACTGAAAGAGCAGAACACTAAAAACAAAGAGCACATCCTAAAAGAAGCTAGAGAAAAAAGTCAAATTCACTATAAAAGAATAATAATTATAGGCCGGGTTCAGTGGCTCAGCCTGTAATCCCAGCACTTTGGGAGGCCGAGGCAAGTGGATTGCCTGAGGCCAAGGGTTCGAGACCAACCCAGGCAACTTGGCGAGACCTCATCTCTACAATAAATCACAAAAACTAGTGAAGCAGTGGTTGTGTACATATGTAGTTCCAGCTACTTGGAAGGCTGAGGCGGAAGGATCGCCTGAGCCCAATAGTTCGACGCAGGGGTGGCCATGAGTGTGCCACTGCACTCCAGTCTGGGCAACAGAGTGAGACTCCAACTCAAAAAAAACAAAAAAACAAAACAAGAACAATAATTATACTAAAAGAAGATCTCTCAATATCAAACACAGAAGGCAAAAAACAGTAGAACAATATTATTATTATTTTTAGTTGGATTCTTACTCTGTCACCCAGGCTGGAGTACAATGGCATGATCATGGCTCACCGCACGCAGCTTGACTTCCTGGACTCAGGTGATCCTTCCATCTCAGCCTCTAGAGTAACTTGCACTACAGGCACACACTAACCACACCTGGCTAATTTTTTTGAGTTTTTGTAGAAATGAGGTCTTGCTATGTTTCCCAGGCTAGTCTCAAACTCCCAGGCTCAAGCAATCCTCAGCCTCAGCCTCCCAAAGTGCTGTGATTACAGATGTGAGCCATGTGCCCAGCCTAGAACAATATTTTTGAAGTTCTGAATGAAAATACCAATCAACGTAAAATCATTTATTGAGCAAAACTACCTCTCAAAAAAGAAATAACAATATTTCCAGGTATACTTAAGCCAAGTTTACTACCACAAGATTTTTATTAGAATTTCTAAACTGGCCAGGAGCAGCGGCTCATGCCTGTAATCACAGCACTTTGGGAGGTCAAGGTAAGAGGACTGTCTGAGCTTAGGGGTTCGATTGGTAAGACCTCGTCTCTACAATAAATCAAAAATTAGCTGGGCGTGGTAGTGCATGCCTGTGGTTCCAGCTACTTGGAAGGCTGAGGCGGAAGTATCACCTGAGCCCAGCAGGTGGAAGCTGTGGTGGCCACGAGCATGCCACTGCACTCCAGCCTGGGTGACAGAATGAGACTCTGACTCAAAAAAAAAAAAAAAAAAAGAATTTCTAAACTAAAGCAAGTAGTTAATGAAAAAAAATGAGCTCACAATGAAGATTTGAAATATAGAAAGAAATAGCAAAAAAGGAAAAATGTTGATAAATCTCATTAATATTTCTTTATAAAACAAGAATGTTCTACTTTGTAGAAAATTAGAAAGATAAATAAAAATAAAATGTATAACTCCCAAATAAATACATGGAAAAAAGAACTGAGAAAACTTTAAAAACAAATGAAAACACCTTAAATCTAAAATAAGACAAAACAGGAGACAAAAAAGTGGGAGTAGAAGCATAAAATAAATAGAAAACAGAGAGTACAGATCCAAATATAGTGATAGTATACATAAATGGACTAAACTCACCAATTAAAAGAATGATAAATTGACATATTTAGCTTTTTTTTTTTTGGTCAGAGTCTCACTCTGTCACCCAGGCTGGAGTGCAGTGGCATGCTCATGGCCATCCCAGCGTCGACCTGCTGGGCTCAGGCGATCCTGCTGCCTCAGCCTTCCATATGTTTAGCTTTTTTAAAAAAATCCATCTAAATCTGTTTATGGGAGGTATATCTAAGATATAAGAATATGGGAAAGTTGAAATTTTTAAAAGGATATAAAATGTATGCCAAGAAAATACAAAATAAAAGAAAGCTAGTTATGCTTACTAATATCATACAAAGAAGACCTTAAGTCAAAAAATATTGTTTTATTTATTTATTTATTTTTGAGTTGGAGTATCACTCCATCGCCTGCTGGGCTCCATGATCTTTCCATCTCAGCCTTCCAAGTAGCCAGAACTACAGACACGCACTACCATGCCTGGCAATTTTTTGATTTTTTTATTGTAGAGATGAGGTCTCACCATGTTGCCCAGGCTGGTCTCGAACCCGCAGGCTTAGTCAATCCTCTCACCTCGGCCTCCCAAAATTCTGGGATTACAGGCTTGAGCCACTGCACCCAGCCTATCTTTTCTTTTCTTTTTTTCAGACAAGAAAAACAAACTTTAATAAAAGGTTCCAGAATGTAGACACCTTCTCTTCCCCCATAACTGCCCTCAATGCACCCACCACCCTCCAGAATAAACTTTCCTGCTGCAAATAACCTTCCAGTTCTGGGAAACACAGCTGCAAAGTCACAGCCTTTTCTGTCAATATGGATGATCCTACATATTTGATTATTTTATATTTGCTTCTTGAGGATACTTCTTTCTTAGAGTAGGTAAGTCATCTGTTGACAAGCTATCCTTAGTCCTCTGTGCAAACTAGTCACCTCCTTCATCACAATGCCCACTGGAATGGGAGAAAACGGGCTTCCTTGCCTTCTCCCTTAGTCCTTGTTTGACGTGTTGCCTGACTGGAAGTCAACCAAATCTTTTTTTTTGGTATAAAAGAACTTGCTTCTCTTGACTAATCTATTTGAAGTGATTTTTTCCCCTAGTGGTACGTAGTTATACTAAATTCTTGCTCTTTATTAAGTATGCTTGATTGGTTTTCTGAGGGTATTTTAGATCTCACTGGGAGATTAGGGAAAGGCTGGGTCAACTCTTGGAGAGCAGCACTGAGATGGATACCCAGATGACTCCAGTGAGCATCGTGATAATGCAGGGCACTGGTGATGCAGGGTACCAGCCTTTCCTCTCTGAGTCAGCAAGATTTAACTTTGTCGTTTCGTGGCATTTTTCATCTGGGAGGCTGAAGGCTTTCCACACATGAGGACAATTAATACTAAGAAGCAAGTACTATGAATGTTTATTTTTTGTAGTTGAAGACAGTGCAGAGGATGGTATCACTGCCCAGGTGTGCACTCTGGCTTACAGCTCTGGGGAGGTCCCATAACCTCCCTTTTCAGTCTGGCTCCTGCATGGTAGATCAATGTGGATTTTGGAATCGGTTCCAGTTTAAGATTAGAATCTGCATGTGCATGTCCCATTCAGATCCAACAAGTGTCCCAGCTTTCCTGTTCCTTCTTCAGATTCCCTGTCTTGGGTGCTACATATCCAAATGCTGAAGTCATCCGGATCTTTAGCATCTAGCATAGTACCTGGCATGCAGGAGACGCTCACTAAATGTTACCCGCCTGGGCAACTTGGCGAGACCTCATTTCTACAATAAATAAAAAAATTAGCAGGGCGTGGTAGCGCGCGCCTGTAGTTCCAGCTACTTGGAAAGCTGAGGCGGAAGGATCGCTGGAGCCCAGCAGGGTGAGGCTGCGGTGGCCGTGAGCATGCCACTGCACTCCAGTCTGGGCAACAGTGAGACTCCAACTCAAAACAAACAAACAAACAAACAAAAAACATGTGACTTCATCTCCCTCAACCCTCCATAATAAAGAAAACATGTGCATTAATTTTCTCAACAAATTTTTACTGAGCACTTGTGTGCCAGGTACATAATACTCTGGGAAATACAGCAGTGAACAAAAGAAGACAAAAATCCCTGCCCTCATGGAGTTTACTAGATAATCTTTTTTTTTTTTTTTGAGTTGGAGTCTCACTCTGTCACCCGGACTGGAGTGCAGTGGCGGCTCCAGGCCACCGCAGCCTCAACCTGCTGGGCTCCAGCGATCCTTCCGCCTCAGCCTTCTGAGTACCTGGAATTACAAGCGTGCACTACCACGCCCGGTTAATTTTTTGATTTTATTGTAGAGATGAGGTCTCACCTGCCCAGGCAGGTCTCGAACCTGCGGGCTCAGGCAATCCACTCACCTCAGCCTCCCAAAGGCGCGGGATTACAGGCTGAGCCACCGAGCCAGGTTTAGATAATCTTTTAAATATATTTTGAAGCTGACTGGCCAACTTGGCAAGACCTCATCTCTACAATAAATTCAAAAAAAAACTAGCCAGACGTGGTAGCGCACGCCTGTAGTTCCAGCTACTTGGAAGGCTGAGGCGGAAGGATCACCGGAGCCCAGCAGGTCGAGGCTGTGGTTGCTGGGAGCGGCCACTGCACTCCAGTCTGGGCGAGAGTGAGACTCCAACTCAAAAATAAATAAATAAAATAAATATATTTTGAAGCTAGGCTAGGAATGCCAATTCTTGATTATTATGGCTTCTTAAATTGTTTATTTTATCAGTATACTTTTCTATTTATATATGTACTTGAAAATACCTCTCACATTTATTGGTCACCTAATACGTCGTTTGTAAATATTATCTCAAGCCCTAATGTCCCTCATAAGGTAGGCATAAATGATTCGTATTTCAGATAAAGACAACTGAGAGAGGCATAAAATGATGTTTTAAGAAGTTAAAATTCAAATTTAGTTTTTTGTTTCCAAAGTCTGTAAACGTTTTAACTAGTAATTTAAAAATATGTTAGCTATAATATCTATTTTTTTTAAAAATAAGAGCACAGATTTGAGTATGAGGGAAAACTCAAAACTTAATCCTGTAAACCCATAAAAAGGATTTCTGCATTTAAAAGCACCTGTCTTTGAGAAGACCAGATTCCCTACAGGAGAATATTAGATGCTCTGGTTAGGCACTCTTAGAAAGATAACTAAATGTGTTTGTACAGAAGGAGCTTATAAAGTGACTTATGTAACATTTTAAAAAATTAAATCGATAGTAATATAATCTCTTTTAAAAATCTGTGATAAGCTCTTTTGATATTTAAAATGTAACCATTCCAAAGCAATGAATTTACTATCTTACCTGGTTTACTCATGAAAGTTTCTTCCTCATTGGACAAAACTAGCCTGAAGTAAAACCAAAAAAATACATAGATTTGGGTTAAAATATATTTGGGGTTCATAGTCTCCAAGCAGTTTTATATGGTTATCTTTTTTAACTTGAGACATAAAATAGTTGCCTAGCAGATCTCTTAAAATCCATGTCTGCAAGAATTTCCTACTTATATAGATCTACACAAACTATGAAAATCTATCACCCCTTATTCAGTGAGACTCTGACTCAAAACAACAACAAAAATTGAGTACAGATTTAGTCATTATTCCTGGGATATAACCTCACAATCACTAGTATTGGAAGTTGTTGGTTATTTTCTTATTTTTAATTTTGTTTTGCAGATTTTAAAATTAATATTTATTTATTTGTTTGTTTGGTTTTTAGTTGGAGTCTCACTCTGTTGCCCAGGCTGGAGTGCAGTGGCACACTCACGGCCACCCCAGCATCAACCTGCTGGGTTCCAGTGATCCTTCCATCAGCCGTCCAAGTAGCCGGAACTACAGGCGCATGCTACCACGCCTAGCTAATTTTTGTTATTTACTGTAGAGACAAGGTCTCATCAAGTTGCTTGGGCTGATCTCGAACCCGTGGACTCAGGCAATCCACTCACTCGCCTCGGTCTCCCAAAGTACTGGGATTACAGGCTGAGCCACCAAGGCTGGCCAATCTTTATTTTTTTAAGTTAATATGTACATGAAATAATATGAAACAAAAACACAAGAAGCAAAGAACATCATCCACAATCACAACCAGTTTACAGTTTGCTGTGTTCCTCTAGGTTCTGTGTGTATAATAGATAAAATATCCAACTTTATGGGATTGAGATCATAGTATATATCATGCTCTTTCACACATCATGAATATTTATCAATTCAAAATCCCCAACCTATATGAATTTTTGATAACCAAGAATACACTACACCAGCTCAATCTGTTAGAAAAAATTTAATTCCGCCTTTCATGGGATGAAAATTTCATAAAAGACAGAAATGGCAACAGGCCTCTAGATAAAAGTATTGGCAGAGTTCCGATTAAAATACTACATTCCCTTAATGCTCAATTAAAAATGAAAGATAAAGCAACAGAGTATATACTAAGTATAATGTTTTTAAGAGAATTCATTATGAGATCTACATCATTAAAACATCTGCGGCCGGGCTCAGTGGCTCAGCCTGTAATCCCAGCACTTTGGGAGACTGAGGCGCGTGGATTGCCTGAGCCCATGGGTTTGAGACCAGCCCCAGCAACTTGGCGAGACCTCGTCTCTACAATAAAATAAAAAATTAGCCAGGTGTGGTAGTGTGCTCCTGTAGTTATGGCTACTTGGAAGGCAGAGGCAGAAGGATTGCTGGAGCCTAGCAGGTTGACACTGGGGTGGCCGTGAATGTGCCACTGCACTCCAGCCTGGGTGACAGAGTGAGACTTCAATTCAAAAAACAAACAAACAAAAAAGCATTAGCAAGAAGATATGTTTCCACTGAATTACTAAATGCATTCCTATAGTACAGCCAAAAGAGATGTATCTACATCAATGGCTATCATCCAAATGTAAACAGAACATATTTACATACATCTCTCCCTTTACATTTCCTTCTGTCCCTCTGCTGCCAATAATGAACAAGTCATGATATACACTGCTCAGACGTGGTTTAACAATTCCATATCCAAGATGCATCTTTCCTATCAATTATAACAAAAAGACATTTACAAATTGGTCAGTTCACTAGCTCTACTTTTTATCATATATTGCACCTCAGGACATTTATAAAGCTTAGATGTTGCAAAATAATGAACTCTATCCACAATAAGCACAGGCACTTCACTAAAATGCACAATCTAAAACCGTTTTCTAGATGTGGAGATACTAGCAAAGAACCCTTCCCTTCACTCTTCCTCTCCTTCCTCTTCCACTAGCCCAGTGACTAAGTACAGAACTACATCTAGTTCTCAGAGGTGGATTAACAAAGGTCACTTCCAGAAGATAGTCCTCAAACACTAAAAAAAGGACATTTATAAAGAGGTTATTTTACTACCTCTGTTTTTAATATACTTTGAGCATTAGAACTTGTTTATTCTTTAATAAATAGCAATATTAACTAAAATGCACATAAAGAGCAATGGTCAGATCATCTAAACTAATCTAACTCACGAGCACAGAATCCTTCTTTCTGTATACTTCCTCCTCCTCCTCTCCTTCACCAACCAGTGATCAGTTAGCATACTCTCCAAAATATAAGCTTAACAATTTCATTCCCAAATGTAACCACTCCTATGAAACAACAAAAAGTATGTAAAGGCCAGCATGGTGGCTCACTCCTGTAATCCTGGCACTTTGGGAGGCTAAGGGGAGAGGATTGCCTGAGCCCAGAAGTTCACTAGCCTGGGCAACAAGGTGAGATCTTGTCTCTACAAAAAAATTTTTTTAAATAGCCAGGCATGGTGATGTGCACCTGTAGTCACAGCTACCTGAAAGGTTGAGGCAGAAAAACCACCTAAGTCTAGCAGGTCGAGGCTGTGATAGCTATGGTTATGCCACTGCACTCAAGCCTGGGTGATAGAATAAGACTCTGACTAAAAAAAAAAAAAAAAAGAGTATATAAAAGGTATTACTTTAGTCCTCTACTTTTAACATATCTTAGACACTTTTAAAAATCTGGCCGGGCTTGGTGGCTCAGCCTGTAATCCTGCGCCTTTGGGAGGCTGTGGTGAGTGGATTGCCTGAGCCCGCGGGTTCGAGACCCGCCTGGGCAGCGAGACCTCATCTCTACAATAAATCAAAAAATCAGCAGGGCGTGGTAGTGCATGCCTGTAATTCCAGCTACTTGGAAGGCTGAGGCAGAAGGATCGCCGGAGCCCAGCAGATCGAGGCTGCGGTGGCTGGGAGCGGCCATTGCACTCCAGTCTGTCGACAGTGAGACTCCAACTCAAAAATAAAAATAAATAAATAAAATAAAATAAATAAATAAAATCTGGAAAAACTAGATTTTTCAAATAGGACTTTTGTTTTTCACTGCATATACAGTAGCTTTGAATAAACGGTACATATACATAACAAAGACTATAATTTGAAAGTGTCTTCTAAACAGAAACATTCTGGCCTAAAACCCTTCCCCTTCCCACTGCTGTCAAGTCAGTGAGTGGACAGGTATAAGAATCTGTAAAACTTAGCAGGGAATTCAACAAATTCACTCAATAAGTGTTTGTAAGAATATTCTTTTCTATTTTAACACAAAGTGTACTCAGTGTATTAGTTTACTAACTCTACTTCTGTGATATAATGGTAACCTACTTAACATCTAGAAAGACTAGATGCTATAAATCAGGACTTGTTTGTCCTTTATATACACTGTACATACAGCAAAGTAAAAGAAAATGCACAGACATTAGGGACAATGGTCAATCGTGCCTCACCACAATATGCTGATATAAAGTCCCTTGCACTCTCTTCTCCCCCTTCCTCCCTAAACCAGCACAAATGTAATACTGCTCAGTGAAGGGGTTTGATCAATTTCCAAAAGACAATATTTCATATGAATCTTAACAAAAGGATATCTACAGTGTTACTTACTGCCTCTATTTTTAACATACTTTGTGCACTTCTGAACATGTAGAAAGACTAAATGTTTCAAATAAAGACTTAAGTTTAAGCCAGGCTCGTGGCTCAGCCTGTAATCCGCGCCTTGGGAGGCTGAGGTGAGTGGATTGCCTGAGCCCACGGGTTCGAGACCTGCCTGGGCAACTTGGTGAGACCTCATCTCTACAATAAATCAAAAATTAGCCGGGCGTGGTAGCATGCACCTGTAGTTCCAGCTACTTGGAAGGCTGAGGCAGAAGGATTGCTGGAGCCCAGCAGGTCGAGGCTGCGGTGGCCGGGAGCAGCCACTGTACTCCTTTCTGGGTAACAGAGTGAGACTCCAACTCAAAAAAAAAAAAAAGACTTAAGTTTGTCCACTATATACACAGTATATAGCAGTGTTGCATGTAGCAATGGTTATATCTGGACATTAGGAACATTCTGATCTAGAATCTTTCATTTCTTCCAACTCCTCTCTAGCACCAACCCGGTGGATATAGACACATGCAGAGATGATGTTGCCATTTCACTTCCAAAATTCCCTTTCTGAAGACAGCCTTTCTATGAATATTAACAGAGTGTACAAAATGTGTTAGTTTACTAACTCCACTTTTGTCATACATTGAGAACCTCTTTAATATCTAGACACTAAAAACTGAAATTAGGACTCATTTGTCCACTATATACATAATATATACAGTACCGTAAAGTTAAAAGAAGTGCATGTGACATACAGGGCAATGGATAAGCTAAACGTTTCTACTTCACACCTAGCAAAACACCTGTTGCCATTTCTTCCCTCACCCCTCCCTCAATCCAACAGCACAGAGAGTACACTCCTCACAGAGGTGGTTTAACAATTCTACCTCCAAACACAGTATTTCCTATCCATTTTTAAAAGCTATATATAAAAAGTATTATTCTATTACTTCTATTTTTAAATACATCGAGCATTTCTAAATATCTAGGAAGACTAGATATTTCATATAAGAACTTGTCCACTACATATACAGCACTGTTAAATTAAATTGCACACATGTAACAGTCACTTTATATATACTATATATATATATATTTTTTTTTTTTTGAGTTGGAGTTTCACTCCATCACCCCGACTGGAGTGCAGTGGCTGCTCCCGGCCACTGCAGCCTCGACCCACTGGGCTCCGGCGATCCTTCTGCCTCAGCCTTCTGAGTAGCCAGAATTACAGGCGAGCGCTACCACGCCCAGCTAATTTTTTTTTTTTTTTTGAGCTAGAGTCTCACTCGGTGGTCCAGGCTGGAGTGCAGTGGCCACTCCCGGCCACCGCAGCCTCAACCTGCTGGGCTCCGGCGATCCTCCGGCGATCCTTCCAACCTGCTGGGCTCCGGCGATCCTCCACCTCAGCCTTCCAAGTAGCTGGAACTACAGGTATGCACTACCACACCCAGCTAGTTTTTTTTTTTTTAATTTATTGTAGAGATGAGGTCTCATCAAGCTGTCCAGGCGGGTCTCACACCCACGGGCTCAGGCAATTCACTCACCTCAGCCTCCCAAGGCGCGGTATTACAGGCTGAGTCACCGAGCCCGGCTAATTTTTTATTTATTGTAGAGATGAGGTCTTGCCAAGTTGCCCAGGCAGGTCTCGAACCTGCGGACTCAGGCAATCCACTCACCTCAGCCTCCCAAAGGCGCAGGATTATAGGCTGAGCCACTGTACTATATATTTTTATATAAAATATTATATATGTGTTTATATTATATATATGTTTTTTGAGTCAAGGTCTCACTGTTGCCCAGGCTACAGTGCAGTGGCACAATCACAGCTATTGCAGCCTCAACATCCTAGCTTCAGGCCATCCTTTTGCTTCTGCATCCCAAGTAGCTGGGACTACGGTCATGCCACCACGTCTGGTTAATTTTTTAACTTTCTGTAGAGACAAAGTCTTGCTATGTTGCCTAGCTGGTCTAGAACTCCTGGGCTCAAGCAATCCTCTTGCCTCAGACTCCCAACATGCTGGGATTACAGGTATGAGCACCACACGTGGCCAGTGGTGATTATGATATATCTTCTAAACATGATGATTCTGGCCTTGACCCATTCTCTCCTCCCCTCCTTCCTGCCTTCAATCTAGTGGACAAGTACAGGCATGTGGAATGCTTAGAGATGGTTGAACAGATTCATATCCAAAAAGTTATTTATGGAGGACAAGCTTTCCTATGAACTTCAACATAAAGTACACAAAATGTGCTAATTTACAAAGTACTTTGTCATACACTGGCAATGGAGGTTGTTTTTAATAAGTCCTTAAAGACACTTAAAGAGCAATACAGTGTCAATTTACAAGTACTATAAAAATAAACCTATACAGCAGGCTAACTTGGAATAAAATTCTCCATGACAGTATTATGTATATGGCTTATTAAAGACCTTGGATGGAAGAGAAGGTGAGAGAGCTTGGCCATCTGTTAGTGAACTCAAAAAGTAGCTCTCATAATTTGAAATGTGAGAATGGCAAAAATTTACTAAATTAATATAGTTCATGTAACATTTGATTTTAAATGCCAAGATATAACTAAGTTAAATTTAACTTATAACTAGATGTTTGAGAAGTTTTAATTTATAATGAGATATTTGATAAATGTTGAACCTAAAACATTTATATATTCAAATTAGCCAAAAAATTGGTTTGGATTTCCTCATGGTGAAAATGGGAAAATGTCTTATATTCAGGATCACCTTCTACTCAGCAATATATGGTTTGTTGCTGTTTGGCCCTAATTTCCGAGTTAGTTATTATACTTAGCACAATCAGGTCAAAATGATAATTAAATGGTAGCTCTGAAAGAAAAACAAAGGGATGGTGTAATACAAGGGCAACAGGCAACCTGAAGGGTGTGCATGGCAAGAGCCCCTCTTTTCAGGGAACCAGTCCAGTCCCATCTGTTATTTCAGAGACTGGTTTTTAATACTTTCTTTCCCAGCTGCAGGCATTTCTCCCTTTCTTCTCTCCAGCTACCCCTTCTGAGAGTCACTAAAGGTACTTATGGCTCGTAACACAGGCTCAGTGTCCCAAATGACAGAATCTGAAGTAATTACTCCTTTTTGGTATTCCTGTCATCTCCTTTGTCTTCCATGTTAAAAATGAGGAAAAAATATTTTTGCATCCATATATATGTACATATGGCTTAAAAACAAATTGCTATGGCTTGAGTTTCTCTACCAAAACTCAAGTTGAAATTTGATCCCAACCTCAAAGTGGTAGTGTTGAGAGGTGAGGCCTAGTGAACGGAGTTTGGGTCATGGGCAGATCCCTCATTAATGATTTGGTGCCTCCTCATGGTAGTGAATGAGTTCTCACTGACATGAAATTGGATTTATTCTCTCTGGAATGTTCCCTAGAAAGTAGATCATTATAAAGCCAAGGTGTCCCTTGGAATTTGCCTCTTTGCACATGTTCACTTCTCCTTTGACCTTCTCTGCCATGTGATGAGGAAGCAAAAATCTCTCACTAGAAGCCAGAGTCGTGCCCTTGAACTTCCCAGCTTGAAGAACTGTGAGCTGAATAAATCTCTTTTCTTTATAAATTACCCAGTCTTAGGTATTCTGTTACAGCAACACAAAGACATAGACTAAGACATAAATGTTTTGTGTCAATTGGAAAAATGACAGAAATAAGTATTTAGTAAGCCAGAGAAGAAATAATTCTTTCCACATATATCATATGATATTCAGAGCTCCCATAATTCAGTATGTAACTTATGCCTGCTTACTTATTGAGGTTTTCAGTAAGAAAATTGTCTTCTATTTGTTCTTCTTTGTGGTCTCCAGTAAGCTTGCTTGGAGTGTCTTGTAATCGCTAAGGATAAGAAATTCAAGGTTAAGTAAACTCCAAAGTGAGAGATTTGGGAAATGTATGCTAATATAATTTGACATGAGCTTGTTTGTCCTGGCTGACTATGGAGACCGCACACACTGTAGTGTGGGCAACAGGTTGGCTAACAACTTTGTGATAGGCCTAAAAAAGACTTAAACTGTGTTGCCAGCCTGTACTGCAATGCTTTAAATACAGCTAAAGATTTTCAACTTGAATTTTGAGCAGAAATTAGACATAAAATTTGCGTAAAAATGCAGGCTGCTAGCCGGGCTCGGTGGCTCAGCCTGTAATCCCACGCCTTGGGAGACTAAGGTGAGTGAATTGCCTGAGTCCGTGGGTTCGAGACCCACCTGGGCAACTTGGTGAGACCTCATCTCTACAATAAATCAAAAAATTAGCCAGGTATGGTAGCGCACGCCCGTAGTTCCTGCTACTCGGAAGGCTGAGGCGGAAGGATTGCTGGAGCCCAGCAGGTCGAGACTGCGGTGGCCGGGAGCGGCCACTGCACTCTAGTCTGGGCAACGGAATGAGACTCCAACTCAAAAAAATAAATAAATAAAATAAAATAAAAATTAGACAGAATGGTAAGCTGAAAGGTACTGAAACCTAACCTATCAGAACTGAAGAAATGATTACCACGGTGTGACTATGCTGTATAAACCATATGCAAGAGGGTGACAGGAAGATATGCCAATGTTAAAAGCATTATCACAGCCAGAGAGCACCTTTCACATGTCTGAGTTGTAGAAAGAACTCATCTAACACGTTAGTCTCTTCAGCTGCAATCACACACATATAATGATCATCCCTGGCATGATTTTGGTATCAGAAATATTATCTATGACATCAGTATAAAAGTAAAACAAGGAAATTTTCCTCTGACTTCTACAATTGTCAGGGTGATAATCTAATCATTTTTGAGGACACATGAGTACCTTCCATCACTTGTTCCTCTTAAGTTTTTTTCTTTCTACAGTCTTTTCTTATCCCCTTTGCAATTTAATTTCCTTTTAACTTTCTTCCTCTTTTTTTTCCCCTTTTTTTGCCAATATCTTAAGCCTGCCAGCAGTATTACTATGTATTTTAGTGTTGCTGGCAACATTTGGAATCAGGGAAGTACTGATCCTTGGCTGAAGAAATGCAGAAAAATGTTGAAATTTGAAATTAGGCTTAGCAAAAAAGTGTTTAAATGTTAATCACCCAAATGAGTGCAATACATCTAAACAAGAAAACATGAAAAGAAATGTACCTTGAGAGCTACAAAATTATATGGTTGAAAGTCAATGCAGGCCTCATGGATGTGGAACATCATTTGAGCTGTTTTCTCCCAGAATCCAAGCAGTGTTCTCTGTAGAAAAAGAAAAAGTGACACTGAGTTCTGCTTCCCTCCATGACTGTGCAAGTGTTACATTTCCTCACTAGTGCAGTAGATGAATGGTTGCCAAATAAGAAAAAAGCAAGAACTCAATTCAATTTTCCAAGTTTGGAGAACCAGAAAGCACTGCAAATATCCTTTTTGCCTAAGAATTAGCACCTGTATCTATCTGCATGTGCCTGCACTACCTGTATCCAGTAGAATGCCCGTTGGAGCCACCTAGAGAGCAACTGCAGCTAAGAGAACAAACACTGATCAGAACAGCTGAGGTATTCAAAAGACAAATAAAGCACAGCTTTATCCAAAAAAGAAAAAGTCCAAAAGATAAATGTTAAAAGCACAAAAATATTCACCACTATAAAAGAAGGGGTATATGTGTAATCTTTATGTTGATAGGCATATATAAGCATTTTTAGTTGAAGAAAAATAACATTTACCACTAAATTTGGCCTTTCATTTAGGGTTCAAGAAAGATTTGCCCAAAAAATGTAATGATGAATTTTCCTTGTTGCTTCAAGATTCCTATTTGAAGTGAAAGGGATGAGCGGAGAGAACAGAGAAGGGAATTAATAGCTATTGTGTTTCAGGCATTATGCTACACAGATGGTCCTATACTTTTACTTTCAAGTGCATCCTTTCTTGATTCCTGAATTTCACCGTACTAAACTGAATTAGGTACGTTCCATAAAAGCAGGAATCGATGTCCATTTCCCCTAGTTTATTACTCTTATATAAGTAAAGTTTATTCTGTTTTGCTATTTACAAATATATGTTAAAATCAGTAACTGCCACTTATCAATATCTAACTTATTCATTTATGTTATTTACATGTGCTTTGGAGTAATATACGCACAGGTGAAACTTCCAAGGTTAAAGCAATGTGGGGTGGTAACTTGGCAAGATGAAAAGAATGCACAGGCCAGGCACAGTGACTCAGCCTGTAATCCCAGCACTTTGGGAGGCTGAGGTAAAAGTATTGCCTGAGCCCAGAGGTTCAAGGCCAGCCTGGGCAGCTTGGCAAGACCTCATTTCTACAGTAAATCACAAAAATTAGCCGTGATGTCGTGCATCTGTAGGTCCATCTACTTGAAAGGCTGAAGCAGAAGGATCACCTAAGCCCAGCAGTTCAAGGCAGTGGTGGCCGTGAGCATGCCACGGCACTCCAGCCTGGGTGACAGGGAGGGAGGGAGGGAGGGAAGGACGGAAGGAAGGAAGGAAGGAAGGAAGGAAGGAAGGAAGGAAG